GATCTTTCCAGGATGCCCCTTTGCTCATCAGCTCCCAGACACATGCTGGGATTTAGTTTCAAGACAACACAGCCTCACAATGCCAGCATTGCCTCCGGATCTGCTGAGCCGCAGCTTGTGCGGGACAGGAGTGTCTCGGCAACCCTCACACAACTGGGTCCCTGCAAGGATGCACCATCACAACCTGTGGCATGGGCTGCTGGATGCACCGTGCCCAGGTGGTGTCTCTTGCCAGGATGTCCCAGGGAGGCTGAGAACCAGCATGGGGTGGTGGGGTGGCAAGCAGAGGGGTATGGCTAAAGGGAGGAGGAAAGAGTTCATTGCTGGCTGTGCTCTGGTAAAGATGCAGGAGAAAAGTCTTCCCACAGCTTCCAGATGTCAGAGTCACCTTGGGCAGAAATGCAGCCTCCATGACCTGTGCCTCTGCAGGGCATGGGGCTGTGGTTGTTGTCACTGTATCCCATTCCTTACTCGTTTGCAGGTGCCAGGAAATGTTTCAGTGCATACCTGGTCCTCTAGACTCATGTATGATGCTGGGCTGAGCTCATATCTGCCCTGTACAGGCAGGACCTGGGTATGGAGGAGAGCCTCAGGCCTCTGGTGGGAGTGGCAGCAGACAAGGGGCCAGCGCCCCAGGCAGAGGTGGACAGAGATTTCAAAGTGGGGCCTTAAGGAGGCAATTGCAGCACAAAGTAACACTGTGGGACTGGGAGCAGGTCCCTGAACCATTCCCATCAAGGTTATAAGCTCAGATCCAGACCTTGCTGGTATTAAATGAAAGCCAAAGACTCAGTGAAGTCAGCTGATTATCACCACGCCAATCCAGCTAGTAGGTATGGTCACTGCTCTGAGCCCTGGACAGTGTCCAGCAGAAGGTAAGGCGCAAGGGAGCCATGGGGAAGGAGCTCTTTGATCCTTGGAGAGGGCCCCTTCCCTTCTGGGGTGTATTAGTGAGACATGGGGGACATTTGGCTGTCTGTGCTGTATCCCCACTGCTGAGCTTGCATAATGACAGCCTAGTGCTAAACTCGTCCACACCCTTGGAAATGACATGAGTCAGTCTGGATCAAATTTGGGAGCTTCTGTCTTCATGCAGTTCAAGCCAAAACTAAGCTAATCTGACACGTAGGGCCTCCTCTGCACCCCACAAAGCCCTGCCCATTGCAAATCTCTTCCTACACCATCTCCTGCATGGCAGGAGTAATTTCTAACACTGGTCTCACCATGAAATCTTTAGCACATCTGCTCTCCTTGTATTCCCACTCGACAGCAAACCGAGAAACCGCTTTTGTCCATGCCATCAGCTCTGCAGGCGTCATGTACACACTGACCCGGAACTGCAGCCTGGGGGATTTTGACAACTGTGGCTGTGATGACTCCCGCAACGGACAGCTGGGTAAGGAGAGACGAGCTGCCATCCTGCTTTCACATCCCAGGCAGCAGGAGACAGCTCTTCTCCTCCCCTCCACTGAGGCCTGCAGAAACAACTCCTCCTCCTGGTCCTGGCACCTGGAAATAATGCCCACAGCACAGCTTTGCCTGGCTCAAACCACGTAGCTCTGTGCAAGCTAATAAGGCCACCTTCAATTTACACCAGCTGAGGCCAAGCCATTGATGTTTTCCATTACTTTCTAAATGAGCAGGAAAATAGAAGGGGGTTGCAGTTTCCCCAGTTCACATTAAGAACAACTCTGTTTAAGCGGCTGGAGGGAATAACTGTATCATATGGGCAGAGGAGAGTGATGCCGTGCATCTAAATGGCAGGTCTGGTTAGAGCTGCACTGATCAGGGACCTTGGGGTCCACAGGATCTGTAGGACCAGGGTGGCCCCAGAGCAGAATCACCAGGAGGGAAAGCAGGGTGGCATTCATAAACTTCTCCAGCATTTGTCAGCATGGCAGGCACACGAAAGCACAACCAGGGGAACCACTGTGGCAGCAGACAGCCTTCACCTCGTTCCTGTCACAGCAGTACCCAGGCCTGCAGCTGCTAAGCACCCCTGGGTGGGGAACCCTGCGCTGCACCACTCCAGCTCTCCACTCAGCTTTCAGAAAACACTGACATTTCGGTCTTTTAAATAGAAAGAGGTCAAATTTCAAATTATCAAAATCTTTTAAAAGCCATTGCCTGCCCAGCCACACTGGGCAGTCGGTACATGTCAGTTTATGATAGACTCCTCTGGAGTGTCCAGTATTTAGTAATTTGCTTTATTGGCCAATAGTTTTTAAAACAGCCACTGCTGCTTAGGTGTCTGAGGCATGGGATAGCCCATCTCTAGCAGAGCAAGGTTTTTGGGCAATGACACACCAAATTTTATCTTCTCTGGAAAACTGAGTTAGTCTTGCCACACTTCTTTTCCCCAAAACATATCTGTTTTTCATGAAAATTTTCCATTGTGAACTTAAAAGTTTGGAAGGCAAAGGAAACTTTGGGCTTTTCCTAAACAGTGTGATTCAATTCTAAATGCCATTGTGCTGAATCCAAGTTGGTGAAAGTTTTCCATTTTCCCTTCAGTCCCAGCTCTTGATTTGGACTTCATCACCCACTGCAATTACCCACCTCCCGTGAAACACTCCTGCCTTTCCCTGGGAGAGGGGACCATGATGCTCTGAGGAAGCCTGGGCAGGGGCCGGGCCTTTCGAGAGAGGCACAAAGCCATTAAACCACAACTCCCAAGATGTACTGCCAAGGCACATTAGGGTCAGAATATTCCAGATTTCAAATCTTCGTAAGAATTTGGCATTTTTTTCTAGGAGGAAAAGAAGCAAACTGCATGATGTGTTTCCAATCAGCGGAGCTAAGTTATCAAGCTCCCACGCAGTTAGGAAGAGTACCCTCCGCACCTTGCTGTGCAGTTTCCCAGTTCTGTGCTGACTCCTTTGTTTCCTTATGACAATTGGAAAATCAGACCCTTCTGAGATGCCAGATATCATCCCAGGATTCTGGCTGTACCAAAAAGAGGGCCCCCTGGATACATGTGTGCCAGGCTTGGTTTGTTTCCCAGCGGAGGGGAATCTGTTCCCTCTAACCAGGATGCCTCCACCAGTTCGCTAATCCACATTAAGAAGATGCTGTCCCTGCCAGTCAGACTGAAGAGCTCAAGTCAGGGTTTGAGGGAAGGTGATTAAAGATCCAAAGCCTTATCTATATGGCTGCTAATACATGATAATTAACAGCCTCTGAATCCTGCTCTATAGAAAGCCTGGAAATTCCTGGGTTTGTCACACAGGACATCCCCCTTCGCTGCCTGCATGAGCCACTTACTAACCAGGGCTCAGTAGAAATGGCGTGAGCCCAAGGTGAGGGTATTGGGGAATACCGTGAGGCAAAAGGCTGAATTTGCCCCACAGCCTCCGTTCCCTCACATTACTTCTGAGACCCTTTCTTGTCCCCAGAGCCACAAGCCAGGCAGGCGAGGGGCTGGTTCCCTGACAGCACACATCTCATCTCCTTTCCTAGGGGGGCAAGGCTGGCTGTGGGGAGGCTGCAGCGATAACGTGGGCTTTGGGGAAGCCATTTCCAAGCAGTTTGTGGATGCCCTGGAGACTGGACAAGATGCCAGAGCTGCTATGAACCTGCATAACAACGAGGCGGGTAGAAAGGTGAGCCCCTCTCTCCCTCCAGACCTGACAGCACATACCGGATTGGCTCTGGCCATTCACTGTGAGAGTCACAACTTGCTAAAAGTCACAACATGTGGCTAAAAGCACATGTCCAGAAGAAAGGATGACCTTGCTGAGGAGAAGGGGAGGGCAGCAGTACTGACGTGATAGGTAGTGTTTGTTCTAAGGTAGCAAACCTTCTGTGATTACACTGTTAATGGCTTCCTGCTGTCCTCTTTCTTCCAGTTCAAGTAGGGGAGTACCGAGGAGAAGCTAATCTGTGAGCTCTAAGCCAACAATCCCTGGGCAGGACTACTGCACAGGGAGAGTCAATGGCAAACCCCTCCACAGGCCTGGAGCCATGTTTCCCCATGCATTGCAGCACAGAAGTGACCCCTCTGGGCTTTTTCCTGAATCTCCTCTCTCTCTCCTCACCCTGTAGGCTGTGAAAGGGACCATGAAGCGGACTTGCAAATGTCATGGCGTGTCAGGGAGCTGCACCACTCAGACCTGCTGGCTGCAGCTGCCTGAGTTTCGGGAGGTGGGCACTTACCTCAAGGAGAGGTACCACAAAGCCTTGAAGGTGGACTTGCTGCAGGGGTCAGGGAACAGTGCTGCCAGCCGGGGTGCCATCGCCGAGACCTTCAGCTCCATCTCCAAGAAGGAGCTCGTCCATTTAGAAGACTCTCCTGACTACTGCCTGGAGAACAAGACACTGGGGCTGCTGGGCACTGAGGGCAGGGAATGCCTGAAGAGGGGCAAGGCGCTCAGCAAGTGGGAGAAGCGGAGCTGCCGGCGGCTGTGTGGGGACTGTGGACTGGCTGTGGAGGAGAGGCGAGCCGAGATGGTGTCCAGCTGCAACTGCAAGTTCCACTGGTGCTGCGCCGTGCGGTGCGAGCAGTGCCGCAAAAGGGTCACCAAGTACTTCTGCGTCCGCAAGGAGAAGCGGGAGCGGAGCGGGGGTGGCGGGGCCAGCCGCAAGCTCAAGAGAAAGCTCTAATTTGCTTCTGCTCCTCTGTGGTCCTGTCTACCCCTCTCCTCTCCTGCCCTCTCCATCAGCTCCCAGCACCATTTCCCTTTGGCTTAGTTTTGTCTCCTTCCCAATACCACCTCACTGGGGCTTGGGCAAGGCTAAAGAGCTTGCATGAGCCCCAAGGCCTTGGCCATACAGGGCATTTCCCATTAGTGCAGTAGGTGATGACTTCTGGGAAGACCCTCAAGTGTTGACAAAACAAGGTGATATTTGGTCCCTTCAACTCAAGAATCACTCTATTCAGTGACTATGGTTTTATCACTGAAAACGCAGGTGGTCTTGGTGGCTCCTGCTGTTTTGACTTGTCTGTTCCTTAAACAAGCACCTGCTCTGGGCTTTTGAATAAGTGAGATCAACGCTTAGGAAAACACAAGGAAGCTGAGATGGTACCACCAGAGTTGGGCAACTCACGAGTTGTAATCCCTAACACAGAAGAGGCTTCTAGTACCCTAAAAAAATAGAGGCACTAAAATAAAGTTGTTATTGCCTTTTATTAAGCCCTACACTATGAAGGAACAGAAAAGGCATGCAACTCCTTCCTGCAGCAAGCCAGCCTCCAGGAGGCCCACAATGTCAATTCCCATCCCTTGACAGCTTTGCTAAACTCTCCAGTGCTTTACTTTGCCTTTGAGATGGCAGCAGCAAGATTGAAGCTACTGCTTGACCTGCCCATTAAACAGCTGTCCAAAGAGGAGTCCCATCACTTGCCTTTTACACACTTTCTCTGTATCTTCTAAGCCTCCAGGTCTAGTCTCCCTTTTCACCTTAGCGTCCCTGCCAAAGCCCTTGACTGATTCCATTAAGATGTCTTCACACTTCTCCAGTCCCTCTTTCCTCACAAATCTCTCCCAGAGAGGAGCTGCCAGCTGAACGCATTCCCCACCTCCTGGTGTACTTGCTAAGCACTCTTACCCTGTCAGCTAACTAACTAAATACTTCCTCCTAGTTTGAGAAAATGTCAGTTACTATTTAATGGTGTTGTAAATAGGAAAGTGAAGCACTTTGAAGTTTAATTTATTGCACAGTTACTGTGATGTATACATAACAGTTTTTCTTCTACCGCTTATTGTATATATTCTATAGGCTAAGCAAGTAGCAGGAAGATTTGGTTGATGCATCTCTGTTCCCTTGCCATGACTGGGGTAGGGAGGGAAGAAGCTGTCAGCTGCAGGACCTGCAGAGGCTCACTGCACCATCACAGCGATCTCCCCTGGGCTGTGAGGTTATCATCTACTTTGCTGTTTGAAGTGTCCTTTAGTCAGATGAGAAGCCAGCAGAGCTAAGTTACTGGCCACTAGACCTGTCTTGTAGCCAATATTTGTAAAACAATAGCCAATGCAATAAATCGTTAGCCAAGTGCTTGCAAAGTGCTGTTGTGTCTAAGTAGTTGGGTGGATTTTTTCATCCAATTGCATGCGTGGATGTCTGGAGGCTAAAACCCAGCCACTTACCCATCTGTTGAGCATAAGAAGAGCTGACCAGTTCCCTCCACGCAGCACAACCTTGGCCCCTACCAGGAGAGGAAAGGCCCTGCTCTCTCCTTCAGCTTCCTTGAGGTTGTGTCCAACTGCGATGCCAGGAAGAAAAGGGGTGGGAGGGGGGCAGACCCAGTTGCCCACTTCAGAGATTATACATTAAAGACGCTCAGCAGTCTGTATGTGTGTCTTAGTTATCAAATACCTCCTTAGTCCTAGGACTACTTTGTTGGGGGTGGGAATTTGGACCTAGGTCTCACCAGAGCAAGAGCATCCATGTCAAGCAAGAATCTGGCCCTTAAAAAATTGCAAGAAACAATCTTGTCCCCTTCTCAGGGAAACCTGAAACTCTTCCACTCGCACACAAACCACCAGCTGCTTGTGCAAAGGTTCTTATTAATACAGTGACCCTGCCCTTGGTCTCCCTTGCATCTGTCAGCAGTTCCTCCATCTCCCTGTGGGTGGGAATGCATCCTTGGGCAGGAAAGCAAAGAGGTGGTGAGAGTGATCTCCTCCGGGCTCTGAGGTCTGCTTTGCTGCTTGAAGCGTCCTTTAGCACAGGCTGGCCTGAGGACGACTGCAAGGCAGAGAGGACAGCCTCTACCCCCTTGTCCCTTTGTGCCCCCCATTCCACAGCCAGCTGGAAACATAAGAAAAGGAGGAGATGTAGAAGCTGTTTCCCATTTCCTCCCGCTCCTCAGTGTATGGCAGGCTGTGCTACCTGGTCCCTCTCCTGCTGACATTATTGCCCCACACGGTTGCCCTGTGGAGGCCGTAGCACGGCCCAGGATGTGCCCGCTGGGCACAGTGACACCTGTTGGTGAAGGGGACATGCAGGGAGCATGATAAACGTGAGCTCCACCACTGCATGCTTCTTTCTCTGGGAGAAAATGGCGACACCGCAGCTGCAAAATGTGCTGACCTCAGCAGCGGGTCGGGGCCGGAGGGGTCCCCCCTCCCCGGCACATGGAGCCCTTAGCAGTAAAGGCCCTGCTGCCATTGTGTGGCAGGATTGGATGCTTCCATGTATTCATTTCGGTTTAATGAAGGCACATTCCTCAGAGGAGAAATATTTACATTCAGCTTCCCAGGTGGTCACCTTCGCCCAGATGACACACAAACAGGCAGCCCCCCGCTCCCTTTTCCAATCCAAACCTCTTTAGAGGGCTCAGGGAGGAGGGGAGCAAGGGGAGGGAGGCTGCTGGGGGAGCAGAATAGAGAAGGGAACAAAATGCTAATAAATCAGCTAGCCAGCCCTTTTCCCCTCCCCTCTGTGGAGTCAATGGAAAGTGTCATTTCACATGCTAATCCCCCTCCGCTCTCTTCACAACACCTTTTCCGAAAAGTGTTTGGGAAAAGTCCTTGTGGCCCGTTTACAGCTCCCTGCCGCTTCGGATTCCTTCTTGTCTAAGGCCGCGGCCCCCGTGTGGGTCTCTCCCTCCAGCAGGGCTCCTTACAAAAAAAATCTCAACAAAGACTTTGGAGTTCATCAGCCTCCCACTGAAATTCACAGCTGCTGAACAAACTAATCCCCTCTCTTGGCCTTTCTTCCTTTCAATGGGTTCTTGGCTTCAAAGACACTTTGGGAAAGGACTTTGTGGGGACTCACACTGCTCCCTCAATAGAAGTTAGTGCAAGCATTATCTTCAGAGCAAGTGGCTTTACAAACAAATACTGCCTAACAATCTCTGCCCCTCCAACTCCCCCAAACACACACAAGCCTAGCCTGCAGACATGATGTTATCTGCAACAGGATTAGAGCTCTGTTCTCTGTGCCCATGGATCCTTTCCTACCACCCCCCCCAATTCTTTGTCAACCCAAAGGCCTTCTCACCCAACACAAAATGCTTTCTGTGTCCAGCGGCACAGGGATGCTGTGGCAGCGTGTGCCCACATGGGAGGTGGCAACACTGAGGAGCCGCTGTCTTTAGACCAGAAGCTGTTACCAGCCAGCAGAGATAGTGCTATAAATGAAGGAGCACTTTCCAGTGGGGCTTGTGAGGACATATACTGCACCAGGGCCACAGAGATGGGGCTTCCACCACAAGCCTCTCAAAGACCCTGAGCGGGTCACCTCACTTCCCCCTGCCTGGTTTCCCTACCAAGAGTTTTACAGACAGTGCTCGCTGGGGTAAACCTGAAGCAAAACTGAGCAGAAGTGAGACAAAGGGGCAAGCAGGAAGGACTTGCAGTGAAGGCAGAATAGCCAGTCTCTGCATGAGTCCATGGGTAGCAGGAACTGTGCGTGCTGGAGGGAACTAAAGTCAAATGCATGTGAGAAATACATCTAAAATCCGTGCTTATTTCTCAGTGGTACAAGTGGCCCGAGTTAAAGAAGAAGAGGGGCTGGACTGCACAGGGTACTATAACTGGATCCAGCATCGCAGAATCTAAGAAATACCAGGCTTGGTAAAAGATCTCAGAAAGCAAGGACTTTCTTTATATACTCATTAGGCAAATGTACACCTCCGGGGCTACCTGCTCACTTATACAGCATCAGAAGGGGTCATAACACAAGTACTGCCTTTGAAAATCAGCTTGCATCTCCCTGATGGGGGACAGCTGGGAAGCCAGACCAGTTGCTAACTGCTCCCAGATCAGGCTGCAAAAGCTCTACAAGACTCCCTTATGCTTGGTGTTTGCCTCTGCCAGCAGCAGAACAAAGGCTGGTTTTCCCTGAATGCGTGTGCTGTGTCCATAACACCCCACAACTCTCACAAACCCTGGTCGCTTCCCAGCAATGGCCCTTCAAATCTTCCCCATCCAAACAATCTTTCTCAACCTTTACTTCCTCCCAAGTCCTCCAACCACAAGCCAGGTAATACAGTCCTCCATATTTCAGAGTTTCAGGCATCCTGCCTGGCTGGCCTGTATGTATATCCTAGTTTAAGTGGCATGGCTTCAGTGGTATAACACTGACTTTCAACAGGAGAGGATCTCATCAAGGGCTCTCTGTTTACTTACTGACCTACTTCCAAATCCCGATGTAAAGTGTAAAATCCTCAACACTGCTGATTCCCCAAGAGAACCACAGCCATCCCGGGAACCTTCTTGTGTCTGATGCAGATTAACAGTCACAACTGAGGCAGATGATCTGGAGATCAGTTCTCTGACCCTGCAGCCTTAGGGAGTAAGGCCTGAGGTCTCACCACACCAGGATGGCTGCTGCCCACACCAGCAGAGCTCAGAATCTGTTTTGCCCCACACCATTCTCAATTGCCTCCCTCACCAAAGCTGAGAACTCAGCTCTCAGTGGGTGGCCCTGCAGACTGAGGGAAGTCTGCTGTAGCCAGAGGTGACAAGCCTATGAAAAAAAAAAAGCTAGCAGCATCACAAAACACAGCTTTTATTTCACTGTTATGTAATCTCTCAGTGCATCAAACCGCAGCAATAGAAACAACACAGCAGCAATAAGGAGGCACTTTGACCTGGAAAGCAGAGAATGAGACATGTCCTCTCCCTCCCTTCTCTGATTCTCCTCCCTCCTAAGTC